TAGCTTAGCAGAAGTCACGTTCTTGAAAGGAGCCGCATGCCTTCCTAGGCTTCAGTGCCCTATTCGATAAATGGTTTTTTCCAGAGTAACGCAACATACCTGATTTTGCTGGGGCAATTGACGCCCAGCATCACTGCTCCGAGCCATCGCCACGGCGAGAATAATCTCAGCGATGGAAAATATAACAATCAAGGCATGTATGGCTATCATGGTATTTTCCTGGTCTTCAAACTTGATTTTTGCGTCTTTAGCCCAAAACTGAGAAAAACCTTCTTGGTTTTTTTGACGATAATTATCATATTTGTAACCCAATACAGTATTCACAGCCCATGAATAGCTTTCAAGTACCACTACACAAACCACAACAGAGGCAATACTAATTGTACTGAGCCAGTGTATCTGAAATCATGAATCAGGGAAGATAGCAATTATTATCTAAGCTTCAAATGTATCTTATCAGTCTAAGAGCTGGACTTTAACCTTTAAGTCAGTGAATAACTGTTAAATGTCACGCAAAAGTAAGACGTGATTTTAATATTTTCTCTTCGCATAAATAATCTCATAACATTTCAGTTGGTAATCATTCTCACCAGAATCGAGGAGCGTCTGGTCCTGGTCGCCACGATCAATCCCATAATTCCCGCGGGCAATACCTGTCCGAGCAAGCAGTAAAATTTTAAGTTTTACAAATCATGTCAAACGGCAGAAAGTAGAATTTGCAAAGTTTCTCTTGACAAAACCACTGCAAGCTTGTTCGTACAGTTGGAGACAAATTTTAAAACCCTAGGGAACATTGTTGCCGTGGATGTTCTTTATCCTCTTTGCCTAGACCCCTAAAATCAAATGAAATGGTTTGAAATGGAGAAACGTACGATCAGTAAATATATTTTGATATACAAAACGTCACACAATTATACCCCAGAATATTTTAAGATCCAATTTCATTCAAGAAATGGCCTTACTTTGGGTTATTTGAGAAATACCGAGAGAATAGCCAAGTAGAAGTAAAACATGGAATTAGGTGGACTTAAGTGTTAATGTATATATTTACAATTACTAAAGGAGGTTAACTGTAGGTAAATAAAGCTGACTCTGTCTTCTCTATGGCTGGTCACGCCACTGAATTCTGAGCCAATCATAAGAGTTGCATCAGAAAACACATTGCAATAATCTATGCTTTGGGTTCAGCACATCAGAATTACGTCGCGGCTTTCTTCTGGATTGTTGAAACGTAACTCAGCCCAGCCTAAACTATATGTGCAATAGTTGGTTGTGGAACGAGAAGTGTGCGTGATAAAGGAGTTTATATGGCTAGGATACCTTCCATAATCACAAACCAAGGTGAAGAAATTAGAACATTAACGGAGGAACGCCGTAAAGCATGGATTTCGGCGATAAGTAGAAGATACCTCACGGACACATTTTGAAAAATAGCCGCATATAACCGCTTAGTTGTTACTTTGTTAAGTTCTGGATAGCAGATGTTCTGTATCAGTGATTGTGAAGGGAGTGAAGGGTTAGTCGAGGCAGCAGCCTTACTCTGGGATGCACCAATCCTTCCTGCTCTGTGTCTAAAAAAGCTATTACCTTTGGCTTGATTTATGGTGTCAATTTGAACCCTCTCAATTTGTTCTTTTGTTATGTCTATCTGGATACTTTGACATACCTTAACTAAGTCATTATATGATAA